AAGGGAGTAGCAAGAAATATTCAAAGTGATGAATAGCAAGAACCTACAACCAAGATTACTCTACCCAGCAAAGCTATCATGTAGAATTGAAGGTCAGATAAAGAGCTTCACAGACAAGAAAAAGCTAAAGGAGTTCATCACCACCAAACCAGTATTATATGAAATACTGAAGGATATTCTTTAAGAAGAGGAAGAAGAAGAAAAAGGTAAAGATAAAAATTATGAACAACAAAGTGACAACAAATATCTATCAACAAGTGAATCTAAAAATTAAGTCAGAATAAACTGGTGAATATAATAGAAGCAGGGGCATAGAAAGGGAGTGGACTGACAATTCTTGGGAGGAAGGGGGTGTGGGGGGTGCGGGAAGAGATTGGACAAAAATCTTACACCTATGGATGAGGACAGTGGCGGGGGGTAAGGGCATGGGGTGGGAACCAGGTGGAGGGGAGCTATGGGGGGAAAAAAGGAACAACTGTAATAATCTGAACAATAAAGATTTATTTAAAAAAAACTCAATTAAAAAATGGGCAGAGCACCTGAATAGATATTTCTTCAAAGAAGACATACAAATGGAAATGCAAATCAAAACCACAATGAAATATCACCTCACACCTGTCAGAATGGCTGTTATCCAAAAGCAACATATAACAAGTATTGGCGAGCATGTAGAGAAAAGAGAACCCTTGTGCACTGTTGGTGGGGTTGTAAGTTGGTGCAGTCTCTATGAGAAACAGTATGGAGGTTCCTCAAAAAATTGAAAATAGAATTACCATAGGGTCCAGCAATTCCACTTCTGGGTATATATTCAAAGAAAATAAAAACACTAAGTTAAAAAGATATATACGTTCCTGTGTTTATTGCAGCATTATTTACAATAGGTAAGATATGGAAACACCCTAGGTGTCCATCAAAAGATGAATAAAGGAAAATACACAATGGAATATTATTCAGCCACAAAAATAATGAAATCTTAACATTTGTGACAGCATGGCTGGGCCTAGGGAGTATTATGCTAAGTGTGCTAAGTGCAGTAACCCAGAGAAAGAAAAATACTGCCTGATTTAATTTATATGTGGAATCCGAGAAACAAACACAACAAAAATGAAACAGACTTATAGATACATAGAACAAACTGAGGTTGCCAGAGAGGAGGGGTCTGGGGGCATGGGCGAAAAAGATGAAGGGGAATAAGAAGTACAAACTTGTAAGTAAATCATAGGGATGTAATGTACAGCATAGGAGATGTAGTCAATAATATCATTACTTTATAAGATGACAGATGGTTACCAGACTTACCATGATCATAAGCTATATAAATGTCAAATCATTATGTTGTACACCTGAAACTAATATAATATTGTATGTCAACCGTTCTTTAAAAATATAAAAAATAAAATAGTTGTTACTATTTTAATAGGTGGGGGAGGAAGAAGGAGGATAGAGTTAAGAATAGACAGGCAATTTCTGGGGGATTAGTAATGTTCTGTTTTTGTTTCTTGGTATTCATTTTATTTTGTTCTTTAAACCATATACTTTGGTTTATATGGTTTTTTGTATGTTTACTATACTTCACTAAAAATAGTTGCCACCTCTCCGTTTCTTCCTCATTTCTTCACTCGCCTTCCTGGTTAACCCTTCTCACACCATCTCTGGTCACTCCTCCAGATCTTGGCAAGAGCCTTAAGTTGTTTTGTTAACAAGCCTGCTTATATATTACTCATGTCTCTGGCTACTGTCTCCTTTTCTCTTTGTCATTGTTGTCACTTTTGCTGTCCTCTATTTTTCTTAAAAATGCTTTCTTATTTGCCTTTAGAGAGTAAACAAGAAAGTGGGTTTCCCTCCCGGTTTTCTGACTTATATTTTAGATATTTTCTTCTCACCTAACAACTGAGTAAGTACAATGTTTAAAGTTAAGGGGGATGGATGTAAAAAGTATTCAGGTAACTTTCTTCCGTACATTTGGATTAGAGAATCTTTTGATCAATACCTTGAGCTCTTTGCCAGCCTTCTAGGTTTATATGTTTAACAGCTTTATTGAGATGCAATTCGCATACCACACAATTTACTCACTTAAAGTATACAGTTCAGCCCAGCCAGCGTGGCTCAGTGGTTGAGCATTGACCCATGAACCAGGAGGTCACGGTTCGATTCCTGGTCAGGGCACATGCCAGGTTTGCTGGCTTGATCCCCAGTGTGGGGCATGCAGGAGGCAGCCAATCAATGATTCTCTCTCATCATTGCTGTTTCTCTCTCTCCTCTCCCTTCCTCTCTGAAATCAATAAACATATTAAAAAACACACACACACAAGTCAGTGACTTTTAGTATATTCACCGAGTTGTGTAGCCATCACCATAATCAATTTTAAAATCTTTTTATCACTCCTAAAAGAAAACCCACACCTCTCAGCTATCAATCCCCAACTCCCCCACCCCCAGATCTAGGCAACCACTAATTTTTGTGTCTCTGTAGATTTGTCGATTCTGGATATGTCATATAAATGGAATCACCTAACACGTGGTCCTTCATAACTGGCTTTTTTTCAGTTAGCATAATGTTTTCAAGGTTCTTCCATGTTGCAGCTTGGATCAGTACTTCATTCATTTTTATTGCTGAATATATTCCACTGTATGGCTATACCACATTTTATTTATCCATTCATTAGTTGGTGGACATTTACAATGTTTCCATTCTGGCCATTATGAACAAAGATGGGCATCCATTGAACAATTACTTGCTTTTAGGTAATTTCTTTTAAGTGGTATTCAGAAAATATGAAAAATTCCAAAGAATATAAAGAATATAATAAAATTTATTCATAACCCCACCACTCATATACCAGGTATAAGCTTGGTTAACACTTCTCTGTGGGAGAAAAATACATATTTATATAGTTTATTAACTCCTTGTTTCTCTTTAAGATTTATTTTTCATTTGAGCAGATTTTGTTTGCCAAATCACTGCAAGACTGGCCAACTGAAGTTGTAATAAATAATTTATAAATCATCGTGCAATGCGAGAACAGTAGAGTTATTAACTAATCAGATGGGAAGGGAGGAAGGTTTAGAGGAAGTTTCACAGAGGAGGAAACATTACAAATATAAATAGATAGATAGATAGATAGATAGATAGATAGACAGACAGACAGACAGACATACGTTCTTCATACTGGTAAGTAAATAAAGCATTGAGGTTTCTAATAAAGTCCATTTGTTCTGTTGTAGGAAGCTGGCAGGATGTACAGTTTTTATCACAGGTGCAAGCCGTGGTATTGGCAAAGCTATTGCATTGAAAGCAGCAAAGGACGGAGCAAACATTGTCATTGCTGCGAAGACCACTCAAGCACACCCCAAACTTCCAGGCACAATCTATACTGCTGCTGAAGAAAGTGAGTGAGTGTGACAATGCCATTTCATGAACTATCCTCACCATGGTTGCAATACATAGATAATTTACTGGAGAGTTTAATTATAGCTCTTTGAAAGCTACCCTAAAAATAAGTTTATCTGCTTAAAGTATTTTGTCACCTTAGAGCAGTGATTGGGAACTGTTTTTCTCCTCCAGCACTTTTGAGTGATATGAGAGACTCCCATTAAAAATTGTGTCTCATGAGGGCAGTGGTTCTTGAATCTGAGTGGAGAATGGGAGAGTGGAAGTAGAGAATTTGAGAGGTGGATGATGTGAACACTTTGAAAAAGCTCTCCATGTTATTTATTTTCTGCACCATTTTCAAGTCATTATTTTAACACTTTTAGTCCACAAATAATTACTGAGTGCTTATATTCAAGGCATTGTGCTAGGCACAGTGCCAGGAGGGAGAGCTTAAAAATTCAACTTCACCTGAGGTCATTGGTTTTGTTAGTTATTTTAATAGCACTGTGGTTATGTAAAGAGAATACGTATCAAATATTGATGAATGAAGTGATGTCTGGGATTTGTTTTAAAATACACCAGCAGCCCTAGCTGGTTTGGCTCAGTGCATGAAGTGTCGGCCTATGTACCCAAAAGATCCCGGGTTCATATCAAGGTCAAGGGCACGTACCTCAGTTGCAGGCTCCTCCCCGGCCTAGGCCCTTGTCAGGGCACGTGTAGAAGGCAACCAATTGTTGTGTTTCTCTCACATCGATGTTTCTCTGTCTTTCCCTCTCTCTCCCACTCTCCCTAAAAATCAATGGAAAAATATCTTCGGGTGGGGATAAAAAAAAAAAATACACCAGCAAAACACAAAATGAGGTTGGATGTAGATAAATTGTACTGGCTAAACATTAACAATCATTGAAGATAGGTGATAGATTCATGGTAGTTTATTATCTCGTTCTTTATATTTTTTGAAATTTTTCATAATAGTTTAAAAAAAAAATCCTCACTCAAGGATATTTGCTCCATTGATCCCTAGAGAGAGAGAGTGGAAGGGAGGAAGAGAAAGAGAAACATTGAGAGAGACACATCGATTGGTTGCCTCCCGCATGAACCCCAACCAGGGATGGGGATCAAACTCACAGCCGAGGTATGTGTCCTTGGTGCCCCTGACAGGGAATGGAGCCCATGACCGTTTAGTCCTCGGGCTGATGCTCAACCATTGAGCCAAACTGGCCAGTGCTCATAATAGGTTTTTAAGATTACCTTCCTTTTTTAGCTTTTTAATAGAATTTTAAAATTCCTCTTTGCTTTTTAATGGAACTAGTCTATCTAGTTTGAGGCTGGATATGGGTTAGACAATCTGTCCTACTGTACGGGTAGAGTCACTAGTGGTTATAAGACATAGTTATTTACATTGATTTTCTGAAAATAGGGTACTTGTTTCTTTTGACTCCTATCAGAATGAAAGGTTTAATATTTACATGCTTTAATGCTCTTTTTGTTTCTTTATTCTTCATAGTTGAAGCCGCTGGAGGAAAGGCCTTGCCATGTATTGTTGATGTCAGAGATGAACAACAAATCAGTAATGCAGTGGAGAAAGCAGTTGAGAAATTTGGAGGTAGTGCCGTAATTCTGAAATAATTACTGAATATTGATAAAATATAGGTGTAACTATAACTTTAATTAAGTTTTTTTCTGAGTCTTCGGAGTATAACCAAAAATGAGATTTGTTCATATAGAAATGTTGCTTAAAACCATCTGATGAGGGTTTTTTTTTTTACTTGGCAAAAATTATTTTGAATAATATAACACTTTTACCACCCAATATAAGGTTAGGATCTTGACAATAACATACATGTAACCAAAAGTAGTTCCTTGGATCCCATTCTCTTGCCTCTCTTCATACTATAACCATATGTTACATATGCAGTGGCTGGGGATGGAAGACTGGATACAAGGTGCAGCAATAGTCATTATTCTAGATTCATTTTATTTTATAAATGAGTTACCAAAACACACTTGATCTTTGATGATTTGCCTGGAATTGAAACTCTGGGTCTTTTCTCTCTTCCCAGTTCCCAAGACCAGAAAGGGCCTTAGAAGGGAGAGAGATCTGTGTGCTTGGAAGGAGGGCAGGCTTTGGAAAGATGCTAAAGAAGAGGGAAAATTTTAAAGAAGTTAATCTTAAGTTCTTAGAGACAAGGAGGGATGACAAGGATGTAAGAGAACAGATAAGAATGGAAGCTACAAAACACCAAGGACTAAGCCTCCTTGTAGTTTCACATGGAGCTCTGATGATGGTCTGTCTCCATTGTGCTAGTGAAAATCATTTGGGTATTTTGACACGGCTACTTAATTTTATATTGTTGTATTGGTTAGTCAATTTATCTAAAAGAAGTATTTGTAAACCAACTTAGATTCAACTACACAGAGTAAATGTTTTTATTTCTTTTTGTTATAAAGTTTAAATTACATTAATAGGAAGTTGATTATTTGAAAACAGGAATTGATGTCTTGGTGAATAATGCCAGTGCTATTAGCTTGACCAACACATTGGAAACACCTACGAAGAGGGTGGATTTGATGATGAATGTCAACACCAGAGGCACCTACCTTACGTAAGTTAAAGAATTGTCGGGGAGAGCCCTAGCCGATTTGACTCAGTGGATAGAGTGTCAGCCTGCGGACTGAAGGGTCCCAAGTTTAATTCCAGTCAAGGGCACATGCCTGGGTTGTGGGCTTGATCCCCAATAGGGGGTGTGCAGAAGGCAGCCAATTAATGATTCTCTCTCATCATTGATGTTTCTATCTCTCTCTCCCTCTCTCTTCCTCTCTGAAATCAATAAAAATATGTTTAAGAAAAAAAGACTTGTCTCAATTTACAAAAATACTTTGTTTAGAGAGGAAAAAAAAAAGAATTGTCGGGGAAAATGTTGTAATGTTTTCTCAGAAGACTAGTTAGTAAACAGATTTGAAACAGATTGCCAATACAGTTTAAAATCCAGCCAAACAGCCTAAAAGTGCTCCAAGTTAGTAGAGAGTAGTTGAAATAAATTGTTTTATTCAGAGATCCTTTTTTTCCTCCTGTAAATCTAATAAATACTAAAGTATAGCTCCTGTATTTTCAAACATTTGTATGAAGAAATACATACAGGGTATCCCCCAAATATACATACACACTTTAACAGCTGTTAGCTCAATTTTGAAAATGAAGTATATTTTAATAAACATTGCCTTTACAATTATTCAAAGTGTGTGTATATATTTTATGGGGACACCCTATATATGCATACCAAGTCTTCTAATTAAGCCAGCAATAGTCTCTCCTTCCTTTGAAAACACTTGGGTTTTAGTTATATAAATAACAGGAAGTTCATTATGAATCACTTTATTTATTTATTTATTTTCAAATATATTTTTATTGATTTCAGAGAGGAAGAGAGAGAAAAAAACATCAATGATGCCCAGCTGGCGTGGTTCAGTGATTGAGCGTAGACCTATGAACCGGAGGAGGTCAGAGTTCGATTCCTGGTCAGGGCACATGCCCAGGTTATGGGCTCGATCCCCAGTGTGGGGCATGCAGGAGGCAGCCAATTGATGATTCTTTCTCATCATTGATGTTTCTATCTCTCCCTCTCCCTCTCTGAAATCAATAAAAATATATTTTTTTAAAAAACTTACCTACTGTAGAAATGTTTCACAGAAGTGCAGAAATTAAGTTTGTTCATTGTATTGTTCACTAACTTGAAAGAAGAGAGGACAAGTTCAAAGTTCTAGAAGTTATTGACTATGAAATAAAATGAAAAGCTACAAAATTATTGAGCTACAATATTTAACATGTTATAGCTTAATAATGAAAAAATTTTAAATATTGGACCTGAGTCTCCTGTAAAATAAATTGCCTACCTTTATAAACAGTATTTAAAAACCCCCAAAAACTTAATATTGCTCCCAAAGGCATATTGCATTGCATACTGGTGCAAATTAACTTTGGAAATGTATTGGGAGTTACGTTATTAAATTACAATTCCATCATAGTAGGAATACCACATCTACTAAGATGAAATAAGTCAACCTATATAATAGTAATAATAGCAGTAGTTTATTTCATGTTTAGTATATGAACTGTTTCAAATATCTCATATATCATCTCATTTTAATCCCTTGGTCAATCCTAGATTTTAGCAGGTATTACCAACATTTACCAATGAGAAAACTGAGAAGTAGAATGCTATGTATTTTCCCCAGGATCACACAAGGAAGGGGCAGAAGGATTTGAACCGAGGTGTGTCTGACTGGAATATCCATGTTCTTTGCACAGTACAAGCTGTGCTGGCTGACAATTACATTAACTGTTACTGAAAAGTGTGTGTGTTGGGGAGGGAGAATTTTAAAGGCTGTAGTTGAGGATAACCTCAGTTGGATTTAAGGCTAATATGCCAAGGATTTTATTATTATCATCAAGTAGATTATTTTGTCAGGCCATTAAACAAAGTTTCAAGGTTGAAAAATTAGTTGCTTTTCCTATGTTCATTCTAGAAGAGTAAAAATAAACAAAAGTACTCTATAGATTACTGAACAAATTCAATTTCTCTGCAGAAGTAGATTAAAATAAAACTTTAAAAAGTGGGGTGGTTATTAGAAAACTATTCATTTGGCTTGTGTTTTCTTTCACTTTCAGGTCTAAAGCATGTATTCCTCATTTGAAAAAGAGTAAAATTGCTCATATCCTCAATCTCAGCCCACCACTGAACCTAAATCCACTGTGGTTCAAACAGCACTGTGGTAGGTGGTAGGATGAGGGGATGGTTTGTTTATTTGTTTTGCATTAAATCAGTGCATCTATTATGTAATCACAATTTACATATACTTTCAGCATTACATTTTCTATGCAGAATCAGTAGCATTTTGGAAAGTAGATTCTTAAACTTTTGTCTGTAATTATAGAATTTAGGTATATTATATATTCATTAAAATGCGCAGATCTTAATGGTTCAGTTTGATGAGTTTTGACAAATGTATACACCTGTAAAGCCAACATCCAAATCAAGATATGCATTTCCATCATCCCAGAAAGCTCCCTCAAGTCCCAATGAGTGTGTTTTACTGAATGTAACTTATCTATAATAATAAAAGTGTAATATGCTAATTAGACCGGACTAACCTTCCGGACGACCTTCCAGACGAAGCCGTGGAGGCAGGGGCCGAGGCAGAGGCAGCCGCCATGGCAGGCGGGGGCCAAGCCCCTTGCATGAATTTCGTGCATCGGGCCTCTAGTTCTTCAATAATGTTGATTAAAAACTATCCATGAAATACTTTATCTTCCACAGCAAACTAATGGTTCAAGGTATGTTAAATAACAAGATTTATGTGTAAGTACCTCCTTTAAAATAGTTGTATCAGAGACTTAGTTCTTATTTCACAAAGCAAACTTAAAAGAAGTTCTATTTTCATTGACAAGGTTAATTAACAAGTTTGTAGCCTTTAGTTGTTATTTTACTAGCAGTAGTTTCCCTTTAAATGATCACTTTCATTCTTTACAAAGAAAAAAAACAGATTAAGAAACAGTAGTATAACTTATTCCAATAATATTAAGGGAAATTAAAGTTTATTACTGTGTCTTTTAATAAAATGTTAGGATGGAAATATATAAAGAAGCTCACCCCTGTTCAGATACCTCCATAAAAACTGTTTTTTTAAAGAGTATGTTTTAAAAAGTATGTTTTGTATATATTATATTATTAAAGAATTCTAAAAAATGTATCAGGAAAAAATAGTAAAAGAAAGAAATTAATTTATTTCTTAATTAACTATCATTTCTTGTGGTTCCTTTCAGCTTATACCATTGCTAAGTATGGTATGTCTATGTGTGTGCTTGGAATGGCAGAAGAATTTAAAGGTGAAATTGCAGTCAATGCATTATGGCCTAAAACAGGTATGTACTTAAAAAATATTTTTAAATTCTCATTTATTGTTCTTTTAAAAAAATTATTGATTGCCCTAACCAGTTTAGCTCAGTGGATAGAGCGTCGGCCTGTGGACTGAAGGGTCCCAGGTTCAATTCCAGTCAAGGGCATGTACCTTGGTTGTGGGCACATCCCCAGTAGGGGGTGTGCTGGAGGCAGCTGATCGATGTTTCTCTCTCATTGATGTTTCTAACTCTCTGTCCCTCTGTAAAAAATCAATAAAATATATTTAAAAAATAAAAAATAATAATAAAATTATTGATTGATTTCAGAGAAAGAGAGAAAGGGGGAGAGAGAGCAAAAGAAACATCGATTTGTTGTTCCACTTATTTATGCATTCATTAGTTGCTTCTTGTCTGTACCCTGACTGGGGATTGAACCCATAACCTTGGTATATTGGGACAATGCTTTAGCCAACTGAGCTACCCGGTGAGGACTCATTTATTGTTCTTGACACTCTTGAGATGCATCTTGGGTGAGCAGGGTCGGGTAGGAGTGAGTAGACTGTCAAAGGTAACTCAGTCTGTCTGTTGGGAAACAAGTTAAACTCTTTATTGTACATATAAGACATTTTCCAGCTTTCACTTGGACTATATGACTGACTCTTAAGCAGATCGCTATACTGGGAACATTGAACATTGGAACACTTGAAGAGTTTCATTAAAGCCGACAGGAAGCCAGCTGTGCTTCCCTAACCTTTTCTCCATCTTCATGTTTGCTACCTTACTAAATTCTGCAGATTCTCATGCTATTGTTTTATCCTCATACATCCCAGCAAATGTTTCTTTAGTTTCTTATATTCTTACTACCTTTGTCTTTTTCCACTATAAAAAGCTGACCTATCTGTTACTTTCACATGAATTCTGAGCTCATAGCGTGCCTAGACCCCCTTGAGGTGACAAGAACCTACAAATGGCTGGACTTTGTATGCAGCTTTAGAATTCATGTACGGCATTGTTTTATTTATTTTCATCACTCCACAAGTACCTATTGGACAGTTACCATGGGGTGCACACTGTGTAGGGTACTGGGATACTTTTTTGGCCTTTTCACCTAGTAGATGACTAAGTTGGTAGGAATTGACTGTTAAAAGCACATTTAATCTAGTATTTTTATGAAGTAGCCTTACAGGTACTCTTGAACTGAACTGCCACATATGGCAATGTGAAACATACCAGAATTCTAGCTTAGGAACAGATGAAGGGTTTCTTTTCATCTTTGCTTCCCATCTGCTGTGCAGTGAGTGAAGGGATTTCCTCAGCTCCAACCCATTGGGAGAGGTCTAATGGTATTGAAGCTGAGGAAACAAGGGGCTGTGGGTAAGAATTTATGGAACACAGGGGCACGTAGCTGATGTAACTTAGGAAACGAAAGCTTTCGCAGCCAGCTCTCTAGTCGCCATCTTTCTTCTAAGGCAGTGGTTCTCAACCTTCCTGATGCCACGACCCTTTAATACAGTTCCTCATGTTGTGGTGACCCCCAATTTCATTGTTACAAATTGAACATAATTAAAGCATAGTGATTAATCACAAAAACAATATGTAATTATATATGTGTTTTCCGATGGTCTTAGGCGACCCCTGTGAAAGGGTCGTTCAACTCCCAAAGGGGTCGCGACCCACAGGTTGAAAACCGCTGTTCTAAGGACCCCCCCAAGAATCAATTGTTAAAAATTTCTTTGTTTTGTAATTTGACCAAGACTCCTTTACTTACTAGCCCATTGTGGGATCAGAACCATGTTTTATTGCTTCTTTGTATCTCTTATGTTTCTGTGTCAGACACAGTTCTTTTAAGATTTTCTGGAGAGTAATATTCTTTGAAATGGGGTAAAAGGTGAGAGTGAAAAAAAGTGCTTCTACAACATTTTTCAAACTACATGTCAAGACTCATTTGTGAGTCATGAAATCTATTTAGTGAGGCATAAAATCAATGTAGTGAATTGTGAAATTGATATAGTAAGCAGCAGCCAACATTTTTTGTTGTTTTGTTTTATTTCTAATGGAATCAAATAGAAAATATTAGAGAGTACTGCACACAGTAAGGGTCAGTATTATTTCATAAACTTTTGTTTCCTATATAAATGTCATATATGAATAAAATATGTTAGTGTGTATGTGTATGTATTTATATTCTTAGTTATGTCAGTAAAAAGTGTTACTTATTGTGGATCACAGTCAAAGACTTTAAAAGTTTACACTTTACTGTGACTCTTTTTCTACTTCCTTTTCTTCTCAACCTCCTCCTCCCACATCAAACATTGCAATTACTAAAGTTAAAAGATAGTGAGATTCAGGCAGTTAGTTAGAAAGGAAGGGCTCCAAGATAACAAAAGTCCTAACATCATATTTTCCCTCTTTGTACTCCTGGTATGTAACTTTCTATTCATTAATCTTCCAAACATTTTTATATTCCAGGCACAGTGCTCTGTACTATTTATTCATTACTCATATAATTTATTAAGTGTCTACTCTGTACAAGGCATTAGGAGGTACTAAGATGAATATGATGTAGTCCTTACCTTCAAAAAGTTTTACTATTTATTGTGAAAGATGAAAGATTTTGTTGCCATCGCACTTTGTTCTTCCTTCCCTGCCTCCACTCTCCAAATCTTTAGTTTTTTGGGATCCAGGGGTAACAAAGTTAGAAAAGGCCTTGTCTGACTGTAAAAATTTTATATTTTATTTATCCAACATATATTGATTGAGCATCTCTTCTAGTTGCTTAAGATGTATTATAGTACAAAACAGACAAGAATCTGTTGGAGTTAGTAAGGAGAATGAGGCAAGGTGTTCCTGGCAGAGGGGACCCGTTCCAGGAGGGAACAAGAAAGGCTGTAGAGCCGAACCCGGTTTGGCTCAGTGGATAGAGCGTCGGCCTGCGGACTGAAGGGTCCCGGGTTCAATTCCGGTCAAGGGCATGTACCTGGGTTGCGGGCACATCCCCAGTAGGGGGCGTGCAGGAGGCAGCTGATCGATCTCTCTTATCCATGTTTCTAACTCTCTGTCCCTCTCCCTTCTTCTCTATAAAAAATCAATAAAATATTAAAAAAAAAAAGAAAAGCTGTAGAATGGGAAAATAATGTGTTGGTGGAACTACAAGGAGTTTGATCTGGTGTCTGTGCGATAAGGTGTAGGCTTTTTATTTCCCACAGACCTTGAGCAACTGTAATGCTCAGATTGACTGGAACGTTGAGTGGGTATGAGGTGGTGGGGGAAGGTGGATGAACTAGGTCCCAGGTCTTGATTGCCAAGTTTAGGAGCTTGAGTTTTAATCTATATTCAGTAGAGAACCACTTTAGAATTTTAGAAGCAGGAGAGATATAATAAGCAGTGGGAAAACAGGAGCAGTGGACTGATATGGTTGTTGATGAGGTTGAAGAAGTTTATTTGGCATCTGAATATAGGATGGCTTGTAAGAATGGAGAGAGGAGCCAGGGAAGCTAGCTAGAATACAGCATTATCTATAATTGAGGCAATGAAAATGGATTTTAGAGGGTGTCCAAGGTGCTGGCTACTTCTTAAGTTTCTATTAAAAAAAAAAAAGCCCTAGCCAGTTTGGCTCAGTGGATAGAGTGTCAGCCTGGGGACTGACGGGTCCCAGGTTCGATTACGGTCAAGGGCACGTACCTCGGTTGCAAGCTCCCGGCCCTGGTCAGGGGCATGTGGGAGGCAACCAATCAATGTGTCTCTCTCACATCAGTGTTTCTCTCTGTCTCTCCCTCTCCCTTCCACACTCTCTAAAAAATATCCTCAGGTGAGGATTTAAAAAATAAAAAAATGATTCCTCATCCTAGACTGTATAGAGTGGCTCTCTTTCTATGTCTGCTAGAAGCTGAATAATCTCCCAACATTACTGCCCTTTACATTTATTATCAATAATCAAAGCAGTGTCCTGGTCCACTCGCTGTTTGTCCTCTCTGGCTCGTTGTGCCTTCTCTACACCAGCTACCTTCTGGGTCTAGATCTTTGACCACACCAAATTCAACACATCCAGAGGAGATCAATGAGCAGGCCCCCAACGAGGTCACCTTTAAAAATACAACTTTTTTTCTTTTTATAAAATCCACTTCATAGTTTCTGCTGAAATGAAAGGCGGGAGGAGAGGGGTTATGAGGGCTGCTATTCAAAATGTCTACTGCTTCTTACCTCTTGACTGGTCAGAACAACTGTGGTAGAAGAAGAAGGTCCACCTGGGATAGATTTCATGTGGGTTGGGGTGAGGAGTCTGGGAATGCAGCTACTGATCTTGGTGCTGACCACAGAGAGGAAGATAAAAGTATCACAACAGCTGCAGTCCTCTGTCACCTGGACCACATTGCAGATGGACGTGCGAACTCAGCTAACCAGGGAGGCCAAGGTGACAAGGTGGCAACTGGCTTCTCTGGTGCTAGAAACCAAAACTAGGTGTGTTTTTTTCACAAGAACCTACTTTCCAACTTGTTCTCATGGCAGTTTTACCATATTTCATTGATTCTGAGATGCCCAGGCTTTGACATTTTTACATCTTTGATATTGGAATGCTCTTACAATTGATGATATATCATAGTTTAATTGGGAGGGGTTTTTTTTCTTAGTGGTACACTTTTTAAGTCATATCTTTGCTTCATTGAATACGCCCAAGAATATATGTATGTGCTTGGTAGGGGCCGGCAGGTGTTAAAGAGGTGAGATAAGCTCTTTCCCCAGAGAAGGAGGACTCAAAGGCAATGCTGATGTTTTAAACCTGATATGTGCTGCATATATTTATGTGAAAGGAAATCTTCCATTGATTTTAAGACTCTTGTTACTGTCTGTTTTGAGCAAGCTGTAACCAGAAGAATCAATCCGAAGCTACTACTTTCCCAGTTATTCCTTAATTAGATTCAAATTGTAGGGTCACCTTTAGGAATCTTGTGATCCAAGGTTTATCAGCTTTCATTACAGATATTGCTTATTTTCCTTTCCAAAAATCATCACTGAATTTTATGTGGTGGATCTTATCGTTAACTTGTACTTATTAAGTGCTTATGGTGTGCTTGTCATTGTTTTAGGCATTGGGCATACAGTGATGAAAAATAAAAACAAAGTCGCCATATTCTAGTAGAGAGGAAAGAGAGACAATCAACTTAAGAAAGGAGCTCCATATTTAGAAACAAGAAACTGAGGCCCAAAGATGGTAGTGGCTTGCCAAAAATAGCATAGTTGTCATAAAAATCTCACCTTACAGCTCAGTGCTCTTTCTATTATACCTTACTGGCTTCTTGAATCTCAAGAATGATATGCAAATTCTTAAGTATTCTGAATCAGAAAAATCTAATTGACTTTTGCTGTGAGTCTCATGAAGAAGTTCTATATAAGGCAGTGTTTGTAGAGCAAGGAACATATGTTTTCTATCCAGTTATGCCATTTAGCAAATGCTTCAAGCTCTCTGGACCTTATTTTCATCACCTGATAAATTAACTGTCTTGCTGTTGCTTCCATAGTCCTACTGTTTGATTTGGAGTTATGGATGCGTATGTTTTCTCTGCAGCCATACACACGGCTGCTATGGATATGCTGGGAGGATCCGGTATTGAAAGCCAATGTAGAAAAGTTGACATCATTGCAGATGCTGCGTATTCCATTTTCAAAAAGCCTAAAAGTTTTACTGGCAACTTTATTATTGATGAAAATATCTTAAAAGAAGAAGGAATAAAAGATTTTGATGTCTATGCAATTAAACCAGGTAATGCTTATTATTTTTAAATATAGTGATGCATTTTCCCACATTTTCTGCAAGGAACACACATCTCTTTTGTGTGTGTGGTTTTGTGATTATAATGTTAATATGCTCTTTTAAAAGCTGTCTTCCCAATAAAAGGAAAACCCCATACCAACACATCTTAAAGAAGAAAGGAAAAATAGAAGTGAGTTAAGGGATATACACATGCAGAAGGTCACATCAACTATTAATCATTTCCAAATCTTGAAACCAAATATGAAAATTAGTTTTAAAGTTGATCTTAAAATCACAGAGTAAAGATTTTATTCAAGGATACGATAACAGAAGATACAGCAGTGTTTTTTTTTCCACAAAAACTTTTTAAGATTATGGGCTTTTTCTAAAAGTTTATCTCTGAGGTGCAGTCTCTTAGAGTAGCTTAATGGTAAATGGTGAAGGTGAGTGAGCAGAGTCTGTCCCATGTACAAGGGTGTGATGTGAGAAGTTCTCAGCAGTCCCCTTGTTCACAAATCATTCTTCCTCTCTGAAATTGCAGATGATGATCGTAATGATAATGCATTTTACTTTATGTATAAATTATAACACACACTAAATAATAGACATATTTAATATATGTCATATTTAGCTTATTTGTGCTAAAGTATATTTTAAATATTACTCATTAGGTTGAATGTTTATATTTGTATCATCCCTGTTTCTTCAGTTTGAACTGAATCGAATTAAATAGCTCTTCACAGTTTTACAAAGCACTTTTATATACATTGTCTAGCTAATCTCATAGCAATCCTGTGAAGGAGGCAATATTGTTTAGTGAGTAAGAACATGGAATTTGGGAAAAGACAACTCAGGTTCAGATCCCAATTCAGCTGCACTTTAGGTGAGTCACCACTTTCTCTGAGCTTCACTTTCCTTACTGGTAAAATACTGTAATGATACCTTCCATACAGGGTTTTGGTAAGAACAAAATGCAATAATGCATATAATGTGCTTGGCACAGTGCCTGGCATATGCTACAATCACTGTATTCAGTAGTTAATATTTACAGTAGAAAAACAGGTCCAAAGAGATTATTAAGCCTTTGTCTAGGAGTATCAGCTAGTAAGTGGCAGAACCTGAATCCGATCCAGGTCTTCTGGGGCCTGGTTTAGTGTAATTATCACTTCAGGTATTAAAGATATAGTGACTTTATGCACAAAATTTTAAATTTGATTTAAATTAAAAACCCTATTTTAGATTTGAGAGTGTTGAGAACTTAATATGATTAGGTACTGTGGGAAGTGTTAGGATATAACAAACCCAATGCATTCCTGCCATCCAGTTTTGTTTTGTTTTTGACCTTCTGAGAGGGAGGAGCAGACATACAGAGACAAAGAAGGGGACAAGTCCTTTTTTAATAAGGAATTCCCTTCTCTTAAGGGGCCAGGTAGGAAACGAGTCCTAAGCACCTTGGAAGGATGTAGCCATAAGGGTTTCATGGATAGATGAGAAGGGGGCAAAGGCTCCTGGGAGAGCAGTTAAAGGCTTAATATGTGACTCTTCGATTAGATCTTAGGGATGAGATTTTCCATAGGAAAGGAGGATAACTGTGTTATGGGGAAAGTATTTTAGCTTAGTGGTCAGGTAGTTTAACAGTTCTCATGGGGGTCTTTGCATTGCACCATTTAAATAAAAACAGATACAATGTTTATTAAACAGGTGTTAAAATCTTAATATATTGAAGTTCTTACAGTAACCTGATTATTTTGGGGGTCATTTTTTCAGGCCATCCTTTGTTACCAGATTTCTTCTTAGATGAATACCCAGATACAGTTACCAAGAAAATGGAATCACATGGTAAGATATAGACCATATTTTATGTAGAAAAATAAAGATACTTACATATTTTTTCCAAAATGAGAATTGGACATTTCTGTCTTTTGCCGGTGCTGTGTGCAGGGCTGACATGGGGCCTTCTGTTACCTCCTCTGCTTAAAAACTACTCTCTTCAGCATGCTGAGATGCCAAGGTCCTTCCCTTCCCCGTCTATCAGTTGTGCTTTGGGTGGGTGTTCTTCCCAGGATGAACCACCAGTAGGACCTCGCCTTCTGTCTGCTTCTCTGGTATTTGGGAGCTGTGAAATTGGATTGAAATATGGGGGCACCCTGGCCGGTGTGGCTCAATTGGTTGGAGCATAGTCTCATACACCAAAAGGGGGTGTGTTTGATTCCTGGTCAGGGCACATCCCCAGGTTTCAGGTTCCATCCCCAGTTGGGGTGTGTGTGGGAGGCGACCAATAGGTGTTTCTCTCTCTCTCACACTCTTTCTTTCTCTCCCTCTCAAACTCAATAAATAAATTTTAAAAATTAATAAAAAGATAGCTACTTTAAAAAGAAGAAGAAATGTGGGGATTTCTTGAAATCAGTATTATAAAACAGAGGGATAGATTTTAGTATAAGATCAGAGTCTGATGAGAACCTTTCTTCTTTGTTGAGGTGAGCAGAGCTATTCTTCCATTGAGATCTTTTATGAGGTGTGAAACACAGGCAGTCCTGTGTTTCTGAGGCTGACTTCCTCTACCTTAGAGTTATTGACCTTTCTTCCTAGATCCTGACAGTAAATGGTGTGTCAGTCTAGGTGATGTTTAGTATTTGTCTTTTTTTTTTTTTTGGTACATTTAAAAATATATATGTATATATATTTTACTTCAGAGAGGAAGGGAGAGGAAGAGAGAGAGATAGAAACAGCAGTGATGAAAGAGAATCATTGATTGACTGCCTCCTGCACGATCCAGGACCGAGCCTGCAACACGTGGGCATATGCCCTGACTGGAATCCTAACTGTGACCTCCTGGTTCATAGGTTGACACTCAACTACTGAGCTGCCGCAGCCGAGCTTGTACATTTTTATATTTATTTAGTGTGAAATTAGGAGAAGCTGTGTTGGGGCTGCTAGCTGTATGTTTGTTTGTTTGTTTTAAATAATTGAGATGCTCTAAATGTATCTTTCCATTAAAGCTTACATAGTTGTAGTCTACTGACTCTACTGACTATGATCTCCAATTCAGCTCCACTAAGTACACAGTTGATATCTCCATCTTTCTGACTCTGGTGTGTTCTTTTTTCATTTGGTTTTAGAATTCAGAGTGGATAATAAAGGAGTGATTAATTAATACCCCCTAAAATTCCAATAGTTTGTTTAGGCCCATTTATTATAAGCGCCGTATACTTTAGTAGTGGTTTGCTCTTTTTAAATCTAACCTGAGAATCAGTCTTTTACTTGGAGAGTAAAAACTGATGTGTTTGGCTGTTATTCCGTTATTTTGATTTATGCTTTCAGATGCCACTGAATATATTTAAGTCACTTTGGTCAAACAGGTATAATTGGTAGCAAGTTTATTCTGTTAATTAATTTTGTGTGTGGCCTTATCTTGCCTAGCCTTTAAAGCCATTTTCATCAACAATTATTTTGCAGGTGCTGGTACAAAGTTGAAAGAAGAGCTGCAGCCACCATCAAAACCACCTTCTGGAGCTGTGAAAGAAACGTTTAAAATCGTTAAGGCCTCTCTCAGTGATGACCTTGTTAAAGCCACTCAAGCAATTTATCAGTTTGAACTCTCAGGTAAGGATTAAGGCTGGTTATCTGAGTGTTTCAGGAAACAAAGGAGGATATTTCCCTTGGACAAAAATCAGCCTCCAGGAATCCCCTATCTAGCTGACTGTATAGAGAACCTTTACCCTAGAATGTAGCCATTTCAGAATAACCAATAACTACTGATATGTATTTTTAAGTTAATATCAGTGTATATGGACATATATAAAATAAAATTTTGTTACAAATACTTTCACTGTTAAGTAATTGAGAGGAATCCTACTTAGAAGGGCATGTGGATCAAGACAGGTGGTGTAATACAGTAATTTATCATCCACCATGAGCGCTTGCCATTTTTATTTTTGAGATGATTCAAGTCAGTCTGAATGTAGTCAGCTTTTTAAAACCTCTCAATATTTTTCTTCTCAATATAGTACTAACATGGTAATGACAGTTTTAAGACTAGCTACTTCATTCCTACTGTATGGAAACTTTGACATTATCAGTTCTTTTATTTTTTTTCCTCCTCTATTTTATCTTAATTCATCTGTACCTTCCTGTTTTTACTTGCTTTTCTTTGTTTTTGTTTTTTTAAAACATGTTTCTATTGATTTCAGAAAGGAAGGGAGAGAGAGATAAAAATATTAATGATGAGAGAGAATCATTGATCGATTGAGCCTGCAACCCGGGCATGTGTCCTGACTGGGAATTAAACCGTGACCTACTGATTCATAGGTTGACATTCAACCACTGAGCCACACCAGCTGAGCTTTCCTTCTTTTTCTGTCCTTAGAACCCACGTCCATTGATTCAATCACTCTCTTGCCTATATCCTAAACTTCTGGACCTCTTTGCTTATGTCACAATCTGCCAAAAACCTAGTCCTGACTGAATCAAACTATCTGGCTGCCCCATAGTTGCATCTAGACTGCTAAATCTGCTGGAGAAACGAAAAAATAAAAATAAAAAATCACACCACCCAGTGGATCTGTACCAGTAGAAATTCATCATTGTCCCTCCTCTACTGGGGTCTAAGCAGCACCTCAGAATTCTGTGTTTCTGTGATAGCTTACTACCTCATTTTCCACAGTGACTATTTTAAACCTCAATGTTCCTCAAATCTTCCCTCTCTCCCTTCACCACTTCCCTGCCAGTTTCAGTGGATAATCCCATCTCCTCTTTTACAGAGATAATATAAGCCTACAGATAAATTGCTTCAGCTTCCTTTCATCTGATATTAAATTAACCATTATAGGCATCATCCTCTCTTCTCCTCCCAGTAGAATAGAGCTCAACTCTAGATCAGTGCATCTCAAGCTTTAAAATTCATGCTAATTACCTGGTTTCAGGCTACAATGCAGAATTTGACTCAGTAGGCAGGTCTGAGGTGGGATCTGAATTCTGCATTTCTGACAGTTGATGACAGTATTCAGTCCATGGATCCCACTTTGAGTAGCAAAGTCCTAATTCCGTTTCCTCTGGCTTCCTCAGGGACTTTGTGCTATTAATTGTGCCCTCTCTTCCACCTGTTCATCCTGCAGCCTCCTTCCCAAATGTATTTTAACGTTCTCAGTCTGTTCTATTATTTTAAACACAATAAGTAAAACTTATTTTCATCTGCGATTCATTCTGCTGTGGTATCATTTTTCTTCATTCCCTGAATTTGTTTTCACCAAGGTCCTTGGTGGCTTCTGTGTCACCAGTGGGCATTTGTCATTCTTACCTTGTCACAACTCTGGAGTATTTGATGGTGTTGACCACTGTTTCCTTCTGGAAATCCTCCCTTTCTTGGCTTCTTTGACAAGAGCTTCCCTTCTCTATCTGTAATCATGCCTTCTCAGTATCCTGTGTCAGATGCTTCTCCTTTGTCCTTCAAGGATGTTCTTCAGATCACTGTCTTAGCACTCCACAGACTTTCACTAGGACCCTCCAACGACTCACAAGACTTCAATGACCATATGAATAGATTACTTATATATCTATATTTCCAATCTAGTAAGACTTCATTTGACATATTCACTTGGCTAGCACAAAGATGCCTCAGTTTGAAAATGTCCAAAGCAACTCACCATTCCCAATGCCAATATCCATTCTTTCTATCTTCTGATCCTACTATATTTTTTTAGTTTCTTACCTAGCTAGTTCTTACTTAACTTTAAAATCTCAGTTTCAGTTGGGATTTCCTGGCTCCACATCACCATCCAATTCCTCTTTTGTAAGAACTAGCTTATGCAGAGTCTTCAAAGCCTGGCCTAGTGCCAGGTACAAAATAAGTATTTAATAAATATTTGCTGAAAATGATAGAGTCCTTGGGATTTTAGCTGGGAAGAAGCAGTGTATAAGACTATTATAATTGTAATGTTATTAAGTTGAAGAAGAACAGGGCTTCTTTGGCATTTATTTCTATATCTTTACCTTCCGTGTAGGTGAAGATGGTGGAACATGGTTTCTTGATCTTAAAAACAAGGGTGGGAATGCCGGATATGGAGAGCCATCTGAGCAGGCAGATGTGGTGATGAATATGTCTACTGATGATTTTGTAAAAATGTTTTCAGGTAAGTTTTTAATTTCCTCAACTTATCAATAAATCAACAAACAACAAGTACATTGTTAGTGGGATTGCAGATTGGTGCAGCTGCTATGGAAAACAGTACAGAGGTTCCTAAAAAAATTAAAAATAGAACTACCTATGACCCAGCAATTTTATTTCTGGGTTATTTATCAGAAGAAATCCAAAACACACATTCGAAAAGATATATGCACCCGTATGTCATTGCAGCATTATTTACAGTAGTCAAGATATGAAAGCAACCTGAATGTCCATCACCGGACAAGTAGAGAAAGAAGATATATTACATATATATATATGATGGAATATTACTGGGTCAGAAAGAATGAAATCTTACCATTTGCAACAACATGGATGGAACTAGAGTATTATGCTAAGTGAAATAAGTCAGAGAAAGACAAATACTGTATTATTTCACTTATATGTAGGATCTAAAGAACAAAATTAATGAACAAACAAAACAGAAACCGACTCATAGATACAGAGAAAAAAACTGATGGTTGCCAGATTGGGGTGGGGGGTTAGAGGGCTGGGTGAAAAAGGTGGGGGGGATTAAGAAATACAAATTGCATAGTTACAAAATAGTCATGGGGGTATAAAACACAGCATAGGGAAGATAATAATATTGTAATAACTTTGTATGGTTCCAAGTGGGTACTAGACTTATTGAGGGGACCACTTCATAAATTATATAAATGTCTAACTACTATGCTGTATATCTGAAACTAATATAAAATAATATTGAATGTCAACTGTAATTTAAAAACAAAAAAGAGCACATCTTGGGAAGTAACTACTGTTACTTCTACTGCCCCTTCTACTTGAAGCAATAAATGGGGAGTAGATGTCAGAATTTTCTTTTTGTATGACTGATAATAAGATAATGTTGGGGACAGAGAGATAGTTCAAAAGGACTCCTAGGTGGGCTTTATTTCTACTAGTTGGACTAAGATATCATTTCCAGTAACACCTGAGTCACCAGAGATGGAGGACTCAGCTGAAGCTCATTTATTGAAAGTAAAGTCATGCCTCAATCTTGCCAGCTATTATTGAAGAAAATAGCCACCCTCTCCCGTGGCTCAGGGACCCTGCTTTCTGTGGCATCCCTAATCAAGAGAACCTTTTGCATAGTTTCCTGTTCTGCCCATGTGCCAGAAACATTTTTAGGGTAATTTTTAAATTTTTTTCTACTCTTAGAACACTACTCCAAATGGTAAGTCATTTATTTCTGTATTTATTAGAAGCGGCATTAACATTATAACAGCCTAATCTAAAGATTCTTTAGTAAATTATTATTAATTCTTCTGTTTTAATCTTCATACATTAAAGATCATAGTGCATTCTGTAGGTCTTGCCTTCCAATTCTAATCCAGGATGCTCTATACACTGAGCCAAACAGGCTAGGGCTCTTTTTCACTTTTTTGATGGTATATTTTGAAACACAAAAGTTTTTCATTTTGATGAAGATCACTTTATCTGTTTTTTTGTCTTTTGATACTTGTGCTTCTGCTATCAGATCTAAGAATCCTTTATCAAATCCAAGTTTTGATAATTTACCCTTATGTTTCCCCCCATGAATATTTAATTTTAGCTCTTATAATTAGGCCTTTGACCAATTTTGAGTTAATTTTGTATATGGTGTAAGGTAGGAGTCCACCTTCATTTGTTTGCATGTGGCTATTCATTTGTCCCAGTACCATTTGTTTAATAGGTTATTCTTTCTCCATTGAATGGTCTTGGCAACCTTGTTAAAGAGCAGTTGACCATAGATGTATGGGTTTAATTAAACCCATATATATATGGGTATAGTTAAACATAAAATTACCATAGGATCCAGCATTTCCCCTTCTAGATATATACTCAGAAGAAATGAAAACAGATACTCAAACAAATACACATATACATATGTTCATAGCAGCACTGCACAATAGCCAAAAGGTGAAAATAACTCAAGTGCCCACCAACAGATGAATGGATAAATGAATTATTATATATAAATAAATTATTGTATAAAACTAGAGGCCCGGTACACAGATTTGTGCACTGGTGGGGTTCCCCAGCCTTCCTGGCGCCCTCTCACAATCCGGGACCCTTGGGGGATGTCGTACTGCCAGTTTCGGCCCAATCCCCAGCCTGGCCAGTGCGCAAAGTGGCCAAGGAGGAGCCGGAGCCTGAGCTGGGCGCCGTGCCACTCCAGCTCATCCCGGCTCCGCTGCGCCTGCTGCCACCTCTGCTGCCACTGCTCAGTAGCACTGCTGCGGAGGTGGGACAGGCCCGCAGAGGTGGGAGAGGCTTGCGCCACCACAGCTGCACTCGCCAGCCATGAGCCCGGCATCTGGCGCCCTTTGGTCAGCTGAGCGGCGCTCCCACTGTGGGATCGCACTGACCACCAGGGGGCAGCTCCTGCGTTGAGCATCTGCCCCCTAGTGGTCAGTGTGCGTCATAGCGACTGGTCGTTCGGTCACTTAGGCTTTTATATAGAGAGATGAAATATTCAGCCATAAAAATAAATGAAGTACTATTTCATAGTACAAATTGGGTGAACCTTAAAAACATGTTAAGTGAAAGAAGCCAGACACAAAAGATCACATATTGTATGAATCCATTTACATGAAAAATTAGAATATGTAAATCCATAGAAAGCTGATTGATGGTTGCCAGGGCCTAAAGGGAGGGGGAACTGCTAATGCATAAAGGGTACAGGGTTTCCTTTTGGAGTAATGAAGTGCTTGGGGACTAGATAGAGGTGGTGGTTACACAACATTGTAGCTATACTTAAATGATACTGAATTGTTCACTTTAAAATGGTTAATTTTATAAAAAATAAATACAATGGCTTATTTTATGTCATGTAAATAACACCTCAATTTTAAAAGGTATATATATATAAAAAGTGTTTTGGGCCTTTCCCCCTTCCACTCTTGAGAGGTAATTTGTCTTCAGGTCTTTTTGGTATTCCTTTCTATATTTAACCACATTTTTCAATGTTTTCATATTTCTCAATGTTATATTTATAGTATTTCTACTATTTTCTTTAGATTCACTAAAGAGTGATAGGTAAGATTTGAATTCTTTTATAGCACCTTGATTCTGCTTCACCTCCCTCTTATCCTCCCAATTTAATTATTTTATAATTTTTGCTTAAATTAATACTCTGTGTTTAAATAATGATTATTCTGGCACAGTTTGCTGCTGAGTCTAATAGTATATTTTATAGTATTTCTACTATTTTCTTTAGATTCACTAAAGAGTGATAGGTAAGATTTGAATTCTTTTATAGCACCTTGATTCTGCTTCACCTCCCTCTTATCCTCCCAATTTAATTATTTTATAATTTTTGCTTAAATTAATACTCTGTGTTTAAATAATGATTATTCTGGCATAGTTTGCTGCTGAGTCAAATAGTATATTATTATGTTTCCCCTAAGAAAGAACTTTTATTTTTCCTGGTCATAAATAATTGCCCTATTTCTTCCCCATTAAAATACTGATAAAGAAACTAAGCAAAATTCTCCTATACTTTTCTCACAACCTCTTGACACAATTTCTACTCTGCCAAATGTGTCCAATTACCTGTCAGTCTACTTTTTTTCCTGGAACCCTTTGTCTTCTTGTTAAATTCTGAACAGGTAACTCATTATAATAGCCTGCTACACAGCTGTGATTCTAGCTAGAAGTTTCTTTAACTCTCTCCTGCATTGAATCTCCTATTTCTGTATCCCATGTCTTCTCTCTTGGTTTGCATCCTCATTTTGGTGTCACAGATTCTCCAGTAGCTTCATGAGAAAGGATACAAAAGAGGTCATTTTAATAAGTGTCTAAAACTACTTGTATTCTACCAATTCATTATTTGGCTGGGTAGAGATTTCTGGGTCGAAATTAACTTTCAGAATTTTGAAAGCATTGCTTCATCTGCTTAGATTACCATTGAGAATTTGATACTATTCTTCTTTTTAATCTTTTGTTTCTACTCCTCCCTTTCTGAAAGCTTCAGAATCAAAATGATCTTTCTCTGTAGTGTTCTGAAACTTCACAGTGATATAAGGTGGTGTGATCTTTTCTTTTTCATTTTCCTGGGTATTTGATGGGCCTCTTGGGAATGTATCTTACGTTATTTCTTTGATAGTTCTCTTGGTTTTCTTAGTTCTCACATTTTGGAGAAAACATTAGCTCTCTGATTTAGTCATCTTATTTTTAAGAGATTGGCTCACCTTATTAATTTATTTTGTTTTGTTTTGTTTTGCTAATCCTCACCCGAGGATATTTTTCCACTGATTTTTAGGGAGAGGGAAAGAGAGAGGGAAAGACAGGGAGAAACATTGATGTGAGAGAAACACATCAATTGGTTGCCTCCGCAGGAGCCCCAACCAGAGCCCAGGCCTGGGAGGATCTTGCAACCAAGGTAAGTGCCATCGACCGGAATCGAACCTGGGACATTTGGTCCGCAGGCCGACACTCAATCCACTGAGCAAAACCAGCCAGGGCCTTATCCTTTTTTTTTTTTGAGTTGTATTTTTTTTCTTTAGTTTTTTTCTTCTATTACTTTTTTTTTAATAGTAAGGAGAGACTTTATTTGAAAAGATTATTGGGGTAAGGGCCAGAGAGAGGCTTTTCCAATAGTGAGTCTCGAGACTGTTACAATAGAAAGACAAATATTAGTGTCTATAACAGCCGTGGGCAAACTACGGCCCGCAGGCCGGATCCGGCCCATTTGAAATGAATAAAACTAAAAAAAAAAAGACCGTACCCTTTTATGTAATGATGTTTACTTTGAATTTATATTAGTTCACACAAACACTCCATCCATGCTTTTGTTCCGGCCCTCCGGTCCAGTTTAAGAACCCATTGTGGCCCTTGAGTCAAAAAGTTTGCCCACCCCTGGTCTATAAGTTCTGTGACCAGAGATGTGCAAGTGTCTCCTTTCTATTATATTTTTTATTGATTTTTAGAGAGAGAGAGAGAGAGATAAAGAGAGAGAGAGGGCAAAACATCAATTGCCTGCCTCCTGCATGCCCCCTACCGGGGTTTGAGCTCACAAACCCCCCTCCCCCGGGCCTGTGCCCAGACCTAGAATGGAATGCAACTTTCAATGCACAGGATAATGCCCAATGAATGGAGTCACATCAGCAGGGCTGTATTTTAATGTTGCCTATCAAATTTTTAATTTCCAAGAGCTCACTCTTGTTTTCTCTTTCTTTCTTCTCTTACTTCCCCCTTCTTCCTCTTCACTCTACCCAGTTTCATTCATTCCCCTTCTTCTTTAGCTTCTCCCCATTCTTCTCCTTCCTCTCCCTCCCCCACCCCTTTTCATCCTGTTCTTTTTTTCTCCCTCTTCCCTATGCTTCTCCTCTTCCCCCTTTCTCCTCCAGCATCCTGTTCTTGCTATACTGGTGTTATATCTTCTCTTATCAATGAGGACATGAATTATAGAATTTACTTGTTATTCATTTACTTTGTTTCAGTTTTCTTCTGTGCTACGTTCTCTGTTTCCTCCAAATTGCTGTTATCTGTTTTTTGTTCTGGAGGTATTTTGTTTTTTGTCTCCTTTTGATGTCCATTCATCTTTATGGGCAAAGCTCTATAGAGCTGATTGGAACCTCTGTAAGCATGAGTAGACTGGTGGGCTTATGGACTGGTGGGTTCCACTGTAGAGTGACAAGAGCAGGGAGCCAGTTTTGTGGCTGAAGGGTATCTGAATAGTAGTGTTTGTAAATTCTTGGAGGGGTTGTTCTGTTCCTTCAAAGAATAAAAATCTTCCAGTATCTTCCATGTAAATTAAAAATTATCCCGTAATCTATTATTTGTGAATGCAGGTATTTTAGCATCACATTTCCTTGGACTAGTGCTCAGCTTAGTTTATTCATTAAAATGAAAGAATTAGATTTGATCCTTTCTATCTATAACCAATCTATAAATGCTTTGCTACAACTATACAGAATAATTTAAAGGTATCTAGTAACTCAGTATGTATACAATATATTAACCCACACATTTTTCTACAAACAGCCTGTACATGGCCCAGTGAAAGTTTACTTATGTACCAGATACATATTGTGCCCTCTAGAGATATGACCTATATATAAATTGGCATAATATAGCCCAGAAACTATAAATGAGAATAAGTCACATAGGACTTTGAAATGCAGCATCATCATATACAAGCAGTGTGACATACAGAAAGTCCAAATCCTCTCTGAGCCTCAGTTTCCTCATGAATTCCTCTGTGTCAGACTCTATACTAGCACTGCAATGAGAGTCGCAAATAAAAACAAAGTTTCCTCCCTTGATGAGCTTCTATTTATTATATGTTGTTATTGGTTATAATTATGTTTTTAAGCTCACACTTTATATCCTGGCATTTCTGTAGTTAAAATCATGCTAACATACACTTTTGTGGCCATACCTATACTTTTAATGATCATTTCTTAAGAATATTGCCCTAACCGGTTTGGCTCCATGGATAGAGCATTGGCCTGCGGACTGAAGGGTCCCAAGTTCGATTCCGGTCAAGGGCATGTACCTTGGTTGCGGGCACATCCCCGGTGGTGGGTGTGCAGGAGGCAGCTGATCGATGTTTCTCTCTCATTGATGTTTCTAACTCTCTATCCCTCTCCCTTCCTCTCTGTAAAAAATCAATAAAATATATTTTAAAAAAAAGAATATTACTAGTACAGGCAGTCCTCAGGTTATGTCGGACTCGACGTACATCGTTTCGTAGTTATGTCGCCATTTCCCATTTATTTATTAAAAAAAAGTTCCATCGTTTTGACGTATGTACTTATGTCCTTTATGTTTTTTATTATTTATTTACCACAAGTAAAGGTCAGGAATTGTTATCTTTCTTTTAATTTTTTTTTTTACTGTTTCACTTCATTACTGCTGTGTGTGTTCTCCATGTGAGTGACATAGGTGCTTATGTAGGTGGGTTCCGACTTACGGCGAAAATCGTGTTACGTTGGGCTTGTAGGAACGGATCTCCGACGTAACCCGAGGACCTACTGTATATGTATTTAGATTTTTTTAAAAAAAATCTAAACTTAAAATATTAAGAGTTTAATGAACTATAATAGATTGGAACATAAAATAGATAATATTTGTTTGCCTCAATTCATTTGAGGGCCATGTATCCTTGGGAGTACTGTAACAAGTTTATAAATGTTGCATCTTCAGCTTTTTGCTATAATCTTTTACTGATTGTTGTTTTTATATTATCTTATATTATAAGATATTGTTAACATCTAACTCTATGAATTGGGATTCCCAGGATACTGATTTTAAAAATGCTGTAATAGAAATTTCTGTTTCACAGACTTACAGAACTCCAGAATATTTTTTCCATAATGCATGTTCTTGAAGCAGTATTTCCTAAGGGTACTAATTGATGCTTTTTCCTCTCTCAATTTCTTATTTTAGGGAAAATGAAACCAACAATGGCATTCATGTCAGGAAAATTGAAGATTAAAGGAAACATGGCGCTAGCAATCAAATTGGAGAAGCTAATGAGTCAGATGCAGGCCAAGCTGTGAAGGAAAAGAAAAAAATATGTCCATGTCCAAACTCAGAAAAGTAAACGGGCTCAATAGTTAAAATCTAATGTTTGTTTTCTTCCCTATTGTATTATAAGGATATGCGTGTCTGTCCTGGAAGAAATATAATTTCTGTATCTATAAGACTTGAAATTATAATTAAAACAGTTAGCAAAAACATAAGCTCCATTAAGTAAATTCTGACATTCTTTTTTTATATTTTGTGAGTTTTGCCCTCTGAGCTATAAACCATTTACCATCTTCTTCTAGGAAAAGTATTATGAGCAACCAATCAAGGTCAAGCAGTAAAGTAACATTAGCTCTTTTCAAAGCTTTTTCCCATGGAAAATATGGCCTGTCACTTCTAAAATTTTTAATTGGGGGTTGTATACCAATGAAAATCGTAATGATATTTTAGATTTTTATATGCTTACTTTAAGGAAGGTAGTCTATAATACATTTTCACAGGAATCACATAATAAACTACTTAATAAATACTATTTTGAAGACTAATGAAACAAAAATGGAGTTTTTCATTTTGTTAACTAACTTTCCAGGTATAAGTCATCTATAGGAAAATATTAATGTAATTCAACTAATATATATCCTATTTTAAATTATGTAAAAGTGAGCTAAAATAAAATAATTTCTCCCCAGAAATATGTACTTGCTAACAATGTTTTGAAATGAGAACATTAGAATAGATGGTTGTTACAGGCTTAAATGTCTGCCCCCAAAATTTTTGTGTTGAAGTACTAACTTCTGGTATCTCAGAATGTGACTGTTTTTGGAGATAATGCCTTTAAAAGGTGATTAAATAAAAATGAGGCTTTTAGGATGGGCCCTAAACCAATCTGACTGATGTCCTTATAAGAAGGGAAATTTGGGCACAAAAGAGAGACCAGGGATGCACACAGAGATGAAAGACCATGTGGTCACCTGCAAGTCAAGGAGAGAGGCCTCAGAAGAAACCAAATCTACTGACACCTTAATCTTAGACTTCTCCAGAACTGTAAGAAATTTTTGTTGGTTTAGCCACCCAGCCTGTGGTATTTTATCCTGGCAGCCCTAGCAAACTAATACAATGGTTGGTTTGTCTTTTTTTTTTTAAGCTAAACTTTAAAAAAGCCCTTACCTTTCATTTTAATCAGTTAAAAATACTTGCTGAGTGTAATACTTTTACTTTCTCACATTCAGCTCTCTAATATTATTGTGCTATTAAGCAACTTAGCTAATTCTGACATTTCATAAAGAATCATAATGTTAAGGGATTTAATGTGTATTTTTAAATGGGGAAACAGGATAAGAAATGGGAAAGGACTGGCCCAAGGCCAAAATTAACAAGCCCTATCCAACAAAAACTTCCCAGTCATTGGCCTTGAATAGAACTTGAAGGCTCCCTCTCCCTCTCCATGAGCCCAGATGGATTGACTTTGAGTAGTAGCCTTACAACACCATTGTCATCTCCCAGTCATTTCTAGCCCCAGGAGGATCCTGGTCATGTGAGATGTTGCCATCTGGCTCCTTTTCTACTGACGTTTTCTAAAGACTTCTCCCCTTTCTCTGCATTCTCCAAATGGTCTCAAAGCTTTGGGAAATAAAAAGTAGAAAATATTGTTTTATAAAAGTAAAAAATACTGTGAGGCAAAATATCTGGATTCTGGTCGATAAAACACATGAACTTGGGGGAAAAAAATTCTTTCCACAGGACCCAAGTTTTCACCTTAGTAACTGAGGGAGTTGGATGAGGTCATCTGTAGCCCCTTTGTGCTCATTATTAGGAAGTACTAATCAATCTGTGCGTCATCATGAACCAAAAGGTCACCGGTTCAATTCCTGGTTAGGGCACATACCCCGGGTTGTGGGGCCTAACCCTAGTAGGGGGTGTGCAGGAGGCAGCTGATAATGTTTCCCACATTGATGTTTCTTTCCCTCTCCCTCTCTAAAATCAATAAAAAAAACTTTTAAAATATATAATAATAACGGTATGGAGGGAAAATTCTCTCCATACCATTCTTTATTATTATTTAGACATTATTTTGAAGATAGTTGGTTGCTAGTAATCCTGTATTTCAACAAATCCTCTTACATAATGCCACGTAATCCCCTTAAGTAGAAGGGAAAAAAAAGTTTTTCCCCTTTACCTATCTTAAGTTCTTAGACTAACGAAAGATAAACAAGAGAAAAAAAGTTGGATTTATTAACATGAACTGCATACACACACATACATTCAGACATGAGTTAGTCAAAGGGATAATTAGAACTTGAGCTTACATATCATCTTAACAAAAGAACAATAAATTTTTAAAGAAGTAACACAACAAGGACTTTGAGTTTCTAATGTGGCAAATTGTGTAAAGGAAAATATATGCACTGTATAGTAATAGCATGTTCAGTTTTGTAAGAAATTGCCAAACTATCTTCCAAAGTCGCTGTACCATTTTGCATTCCCACCACCAATGAATGAGTGTTCCTGTTGCTCCACATCCTTGTCAGCATTTGGCATTGTCAGTGTTGTGGATTTTGGCCACCCTAACAGGTGTGTAGTGGTATCTTGTTAATTTGTAATTTCTTAATGACATAAAACGTTGAACATCTTTTCATATAATGACTTGCCTTTCTATATTCTTTGGTGAAGTATCTGTTCAGGTATTTGGCCCATTTTCAATCATCAGGTTGATTTTGTTTTTGTTGTTTTAAGAATTCTTTGTATATTTTGTAAAACAGTTGTTTGTCAGATATACATATATCTTTTTTTTATACATATATCTTTTGCAAATATTTTTCTCCTAGTCCATGACTTGTTTTCTCATTCTTTTGACATTGTCTTTTGCAGAGCAGAAGTTTTTCACTGTAATGATGTTCAGCTTATCAATAATTTCTTTCATGAATCATGCCTTGTTTTGTATCTAAAAAGTCATTGCCATACCCAAGGTCATCTAGCTTTTATCTTATTTTGTAGGTGTTTTATAGTTTTTCATTTTACATTTAGATCTGTGATCCATTTTGAGTAAATTAATTCTTGTGAAAGGAGTAAAGTCTTTGCTTAGATTCTTCTAATTCTTTTTAATGTGACTACCTAGTTGTTCCAGTATCATTTGTTGAAAAGACTATATTTTTGCTCCTTTTTCAAAGATCAGTTGACTATATCAGTCTACTTCTGGGCTCTCTCTTCTGTCCCATTGATCTATTGCTTATTTGTTCACCAATATCACATTACTTGCTTAGTATAGCTTTATAGTTAAGTCTTGAAGTCAGGCAGTGTCAGTCCTCCAACTTTGCTCTTTTCCTTCAATATTGAGTTAGCTATTTTGGTGTTGTTGTTTTTTTGCCTCTTCATATAGACTTTAGAATCATTTTGTTGACCCGCACAAAATAACTTGCTTGGATTTTTATTGGCATTGTACTGACTCTGTATAACAGTTTGGGACAAATAGATGTCTTGACAATATTGAGTCTTCATATCCATTAACGTGAAATATCTCTTCATTTATTAACTTGTTCTTTGATCTTTCATTTGAACTTCATAGGTTTCCTTGTATAGAACATGTACATGTTAGATTTGTATTTAAGAATTTCATTTTTTGGCTGATAATGTAAATGGTAATGTGTCCTAAATTTCAAATTTCACTTGTTCATTGCTGGTATATAGGAAAGTGATTGACTTTTGTATATTAACCTTGTATCCTACCACTTTGCTACAATCACTTATTAGTTCCAGGAGGGTTGGTTTTTTGTGTTGTTTTTTTTTTGTCAATTGTTTCAGATTTTCTAGAGACAATTATGTCATCTATGAACACACTTTTATTTTTTCCTTCCCAATTTTTATAATTTTTATTTCATTTTCTTGTGTTATTGCATTGGCTAGAACTTCTAGTATGATATTGAAAAGGAGTAATGAGAGGGTACATCTTTGGTCATGATCTTAGTGGAAAAGCTTCAAGATTCATTTACATTTTAGCAGGTGACTTCATTTCTTTTCTTAAGGCTGAATCATTTTCTATTGTATATACATACCACATAGTGTTTATCCATCCATCCATCCATCCATCCATCCATGCATGGACATTTGGGCTGCTTCCACTTCTTGGCTATTGAGAATGCTGCTGCAGTGAACATGGGTGTGCAAATGTCTCTTCAAGTTCCTGCTTTAAATTCTTTTGGTTCTAATTTCTCCACAGGATTACATATTTGAAATATGTAGTAAATAACTGGTGTGTTTTTTAAACAGACATCATTTTGTCAAAAATGTTTGCATAGATTTTTTTTTTTAATTCAGCCTAGACCAGGAGGAATGTTGATAGAGTCAGGTGTTAAGAATTCTTTCTCCTTTGCTCAGTAGTCTCTTTCTCTGCCTCAATCACATTCTTCTCTCCCCTACCTACCTCAAGGGTAGAAGTGACTGAGGTTTCTCTGTCATAGTTGGGATGAGGCCAAGATGTGAGCCCCACCTATGGCTAATCAGATAGGCTCTAAATGTTGTTAACATTATTTTTTAGATGCTCAATGCTGTAAGTAGACAGAGAGTTAGGAGCATGTACTCTGCAGTCAGACTGTCTGGTATGAATCTCCGTTCCTCCAGATACCATGTGATCTTGGGCAGATTTCTTAATTTTTGTGTGCCCCACCTATATGGCAATGCTAACACCTACTTCATAGAGTTCTTAGGATTAAATTAATACTCGCTAAGCACTTAATGTAAACCCTGGGCATACGGTAAATGCTCTGAAAGTGTTTGCTGGGTAAACTAAGAGTGGAGGGTGCCTGGTAACGCGTTAGCATGAGGGGAGCGCTATCCGTGGTGTTATTGTACCCCGGTCTTAGTGCGTTTTAGGTGTTTTTAAGCGGCCCCACTCCTTCCATGGGAAGGATGCGTGTATTGCAGTTGGATTAGGAAATTCCACGGAGCATCGGTGACTGTGGGTTGTACGTCTGTTGGTCAGAGGTGTTCTTACACGTCAGGATGTAAAAGATGACTATCTAGTGCGTTAAAACAGGTGCCACACACCTGCCACTCACGGAGCACGGTCTCGTAATGAGGTCTGCTCCCAGCGTTTAGGTGGAGTTGTAA